GTTTATAGGTGAATACGTATGAATGTTAGAAAGAAAAATCGTCTGCTAGAGGTAAACTCCTAGTCATTTCTCAATGTCAATGTGATCCAGCCGAAGTGAAAAGGCGTTCTTCAATAGCGTCATTTGGAAAAGAGGGCCAATTTCAAGTTCTTATTGACGATAAGAGGAAAAAAATTTTTGATAAGTGAATATCCATCTGTCTATAATAGCAACAAATAGTTTTGATGCGGTTGGAAGGGTTATAAGTGCAATTATCGTCGCATTGTGGAAGCATATATATGTCAATTGTATTGCTAATTATGACGTAATTGAGTTGTTTAGCAATTCATTGCCTTCAGAAACCTTCTTCGGCACTTCAACCTATAATACTGGCATCAAACAGCAAAAACAATGCATTGAATTGTTTTAAGCGGCGATTGTTATGACGTTGTATAATTGTTTACCTAAATTAGGCCTATATATAACCGTGCAGTCATTCAGAGAACTGCCTTAAAGCAGCCCCCAAAGAAACGTCGAAATTAAAAAAGAAATAGCATCATATACCAGGCGTTAGGATAAGGGTTTGTAAAAAGGATCGCGTATCAAGATTCGAAAAATATGGAACGCTTCACGAATTTGCGTGTCATCCTTGCGCAGGGGCCATGCTAATCTTCTCTGTATCGTTCCAATTTTAGTATATGTATTACGTGAGTAATACAATTGGAGAGCGGTTCGTAAGTCCATTAAGTACCCTAGACTTACCACACATCAAAGCTCCCTGGTATGACACAGTTACACCTATTATCATCGTAATTGTGACGTATAAACCTGTGTGATATGAAATGGTAAATTGCACATGCGCACTGAACTAAATAGAAATAGTACAAGGCAAAGTAGTTATATCAGTAAACGTCGCCGACATCAAACAACCCAAAGAAAAACAACTATGCGAAAATCACAAGAGAAGGGAGGGGGGATTTAATGTTGAAACATCACTTACATTTTAATGGATGTGACCATAGAACGTGCCCGTAAGATGTGGCGATAGGTAGTAGATAGGACAGGATAACATCCCGGTCTCCTGTTTAATAGGTGAATACGTATGAATGTTAGAAAGAAAAATCGTCTGCTAGAGGTAAACTCCTAGTCATTTCTCAATGACAATGTGGTACAGCCGAAGTGAAAACGCGTGCTTCAATAGCGTCATTTGAAAAAAAGGGTCAATTTCAAGTTCGCATTGACGATAATAGGACAAGTTTTATTGATAAGTGTATATCCATCTGTCTAATATAGCAACAATTAGTTTTTATGCGGTTGGAAGGGTTATAAGTGCAATTATCATCGCATTGTGGAAGCATATATATGTCAATTGTATTGCTAATTATGACGTAATTGAGTTTTTTTGGCAATTCATTGGCTTCGGAAACCCTATTCGGCACTTCAACCTACAATACTGGCATCAAATAGCAAGAACAATGCATTGAATTGTTTTAAGCGGCGATTGTTATGACGTTGTATAATTGTTTACCTAAATTAGGCCTATGTATAACCGTGCTGTCATTCAGAGAACTGCCTTAAAGCTGCTCCCAAAGAAACATCGAAATTAAAAAAAAAATAGCATCATATACCGGGCGTCAGGATAAGGGTTTGTAAAAAGGATCTCGTATCAAGAT